TAAAGGTGGAGGGCAAAATGAATAGATTGGATTATATACAGATACTAGAAAAGCATTTATTACCTTTGATAAATAAGAAATTTAATGGTAAGAGATATCTGTTTCAGGATGATAATGATGATTTTCTCGATAAAATAATCGTTGAAGTCAATGATTTATTTTTGAAAAGAGCAGATTATGGATATTATTTTGGGGAAATAACCGAAGAGATTGAAGAGTATTTGATGGAAAAAAGAATTTCGCCCGAAAATTTTTTTGAATTAGTAAACCAAGAAAGGTATTCTAATCAATATCCTAATCTGTTTGGCTTTTGTTATGAGAGAGGAATTGGGAATACGATGGATTGGAAAAAAGCAAAACTTTTTTATGAAAGATCTGAAGAAAGTGGTGATCATTATGGAGAGTGGTTGCTTGGTTATATGTATCTGAACAATCATGAAACAATGGATGTCAATAAAGGTCTCTTTTTGTGTAAGAAATCGGCTGATGCAGGAAACGCACGTGCACAATTAATACTCGCGGAATTTTATGCGTGGAGTAATAAAGAACTAATAAATAAAGAGCTAGCATTCGAGTATTGTAAAAAGTCCGCGGAGAATGGAAATTTAGCTGCCCGACATTTACTCGGTGATTATTATCAGAGAGGAACTGGAACTGAACAAAATATCGAAGAAGCAAAGAAGCATTACAAACAAGCGGCAGACCATGGTTTTAAACGTTCAATCGATAAATTGAGGGATATGAGAAAAAAAGAAGGGAAGATGACAGAGGAAGATCTTCTAGATGAAAGTTGGGAAGAATATCAAATCCACCAGGGTGACGTCTAAAAGTTCGGGCCATGTGATATTATAGCATAGTTCCAGGATAATGATTGAATATTTGTGCATATACAAATATTATCATGCTATCAATAAAAGAAAGTATATACATGGCAGGCTGTATCAATAAATCCTTTATCACTTTTTATAAGAAAGCTTAAGACATTGATCAAGAATTTTAGTTAAAATTAAAAATCATATATATAAATAAATTAGTAAATATATACAAAAATATAACTTGTTATAAGAATTTAAATATATCTGTTAAAATTATATTTATAGAACTTTAGTTATTATATAATATTTTTTAAGCTTTTTAAAAGCTTTTTTAAGTAGTTTCTGATTTGTTTTGTATATTTTGAGTTTTTAGTTATATATTATTATCTTTTTGATTTTAGATATGAGTATTTATCTTAAATTATCAAAAATAGATATTTTTACTAATAATAATAATATTGAAAGAGTCTTTATAATATATTAACAAGAATATATTTTTCTATTAAGACTAATTAAAAATTTATTCTAAAAACAGATAATAATAGTATTTACAATATGATTAGCTAGAATATAATTCAATTTCAAAATATAATTTTAATAAAGATATAATAAATAGTTTATTAATAAAATGAAATAATAAATTTTTACAAGATCTATATTATAAGAAATATTTCTTAAAATTTTCTTAATTAAATTTTACTAAAACTACTAAACTATCTAATTATAAAATTATTCTTTTTTACTTGCTAAGATACAATAGTGACCAAAAGTAATAACTCAAGAACTAAATTTATTAATAAAATATAGTGAAAATTAAAATTTTCTCTCTATACTAAAATTTTTAATTTTATTAAGAAATAATTTTTATTTTTATATTAAAATAAAGTATATCAGTTGTAATTTAACATATATTTTTTTCAGATATTTTAGATTTTTTCTGAAAGAGTTGCTCTAATTATAAAATTAATGTAAAAATTTTTATTAATTAAATTTCATTTTTAATTAGTAAAAATTTTTGCATTAACTTTATAATTAGAGTAACTCTTT